TCCAAAATGAAACAGTTAAGGAGATATCCAGAGCATCTCTCGCATTATGTCCTACCTGTCACCACAACCCATCTTTCTCCTTCCTGGTTTCTGATGCAAATTGTACCCCATAGTTGTTCAGTCCTTAAGGAAATCTGCTGCGAAAGAGGGGAGAAAGAGAGAAACACATCTGAATTAATAATTCGACTTTGTCAGAAATTGAGGCCCACTTATTAAGAAGCAAGCCATTTTTATAACTATTAAAGGTAAATGTACTGTCACTGTAAAGCCTAGAAAACCTCCCTTCTGGGAACACCTCAGACCCCAAAACAGATTTTGTGTGGAAATTTAGATTATCTGCATAGAGGTGAATTTCACCACTGTATACCTATTCACTGCTTCATTTTTATGTTAAGGTAGACTCGACTAGATTTCATGAACACATCAGTAAAATCTATAATCTTTGCAAATCAAAACAGCTGCAAAGTACCATGAAACAGAGGCAGTCTGCTTGGAGTATTTTTTTTTTCAGCCGTGTCCCATATGAAGGATAGAATATTGTTACTTACTTCCATTTAGAAGAGATCACCAAGATCTTGTAGCTCAGGGTTATTGGAATGATATTTTTGTTTTTAATTATTCAAATTTTTTTTCACAATTCTTTATAGGATTTAATTAGGTAAAATGTTTATGACATAATTATTCACCAAAAACACTGCAAATAATCCTAGGTCCTTCAATTCCAAAAATTATTGATGGTAAGAAGACACTCAGAGGAAAGTAACGTGCGTATAAGGCACTGAAGGGACAGATTTATGAAAGGAAATTGCCAGAAATAAATATGAACATTACATTGTAGCTTTGACCAAACAGGAAAAGAAATATGAAGCTGATGTGACAGCAATTTATAAGTTTTTTGAAAGGTGCAAGTTCCATTTATGGAAAGGAATTTGTACTTGGGTCATCCAAGGGCTAGTATAGTGGGATGTAAAACTGGGTGGGAAAAAAAAAAAAAGAAATCCAAATGGTCAGTTAGCAGGGTTGCAACCCAGGAGAAATGACTGAATTATTTAAAACAATTTGTGCAACACTGGGGTGGTATAATCATAAGGGAAAAGTCTTACGTAATCAGGGACAAACAGTTAACATTTCTTTTCTCTGATCTCAGTCATTCTGTATGCTAGCGCCATCCTTTCTGCTTTTGCAACTGTCTTCCTTGTTTTTTGCTTTTTATGATCTCTTATGTTAAAAATCCAGCCTTGGGGGTCATCATATATAGTAACAAAGACAACGCATAAATGAACTCATTGCCAGTTTTTTGTGATACTGTTCCCCTAACCATGAAAAGATATATAAAGTTCTTGGGAAGAGTACAAGACACAAATCCCTCTTTCTTCCCTCCACTTTTCCCCTGCAAGCTGATGAAATTAGCTCAGGCTTTAGGCCCACATAAATGCAGCGCTGTGTATGCTCAGTTTGGATGCACGGAATCCTTGACTGGCACTTCTGGTAATAGTTGAGTATAGAAAGACATGTCACTAAATCATAATACATCAAGTCTGGTTCTGAATTTATTCCATAGTAAGTTCTTTATACAGTTGTGCTGATTTCATCTCAGTCTTTCTTGGTTTTCAATATTTCATCTGTATGATTGAAAGCTCACTTTTATTTTGACAGAAGTTCCAGAATAAGAAAGTAATCTTGATATTGGCCCCTTCTCTGCTTTAAAGCCACTGCTATATGCAATTTTTCTTGGAATATTTTTTTCCAAGCATTGTATCTGCCAAAGTCATAATTTTGGACTGACCAAAGTAACAATTCCAGCAAAATTCAATTCCAGCAAAGGCCTTTACAAAGACAGCAGTTCATGGTAAGTGCTAGCAAATCCATTTCTGACGTGATCTTGCAAGCTCATCCACATCCTATGGTTTCATCTGGAGTTCTTGGTACACAAGGGAATTTTTCATGCTTCCAGATAAAATGTTCCTGAATAGACATTTTGAGCACTCTTCCATGATAAAGTCATCAGTAATAATTCCAAACCCATTTAGAGAGAAAATTAATAGCATTGCCCTTATATCTCCTAAAAAAATCCATTCCTTGTCCTGGAAGGAAGATCAGTGGAATTTATGTACTCCATTACAGATATTGTCTAATTTGTCCTTAAAGACTTCCAACAAAATCCTTCCCAGGAAATCTATTCTTTCATTTCAGTACTCAGAGTTTTAGGAACTTTACTACTTACATCTAACATGAGTCTTTCTGGTCCATCGTGTAAGCCAAGCACAATTTGTCTTTCTGAGGATGCTAGAGAGACATGTTTTCCTTTTCTTTCTGCTACAATCAAAACTCATTCAACCCACTGCCAGAGATATTTTTTTACATTTTTTCATGAACTCTTCTAGAGTCTTTTCTATTAATCTCTACTTTTCTTGAGATGTTCTACCCAGAACAGGACAGATGTTCAACTGAAACATTATGGAGTTCTGAACTGAGGATACAGTTTATTTGATATGATCCCACTTCCTATATAGCATTTACCTTTTCCACAGCAGCTTGGCATTACTGGCTTTTATAGAGACTAACTCATTATGATCCTCAGATTTCTGTAGTAATGTTTCCTAGACTGAATTCATTCCAGTTGTTGATTCCTATCTACGCACCTTCTAATTGTCCATGCCGAATTACAGTCTCTTATTATCTCTGTATAGCTTGGTTATCATATCCAAATTTAAGAAGCATACTCATCAAGTTCACAAATGAAAATATTAAGTATTCCCAGGACAAACACTTGCAAAATGCTAGAATCACCATGCTACTTGTTTACAAATTGTTCATGTCTTCTTTCCAAATACAGCTTTCCAAACAGCTTTGTGAATTCCTTCTTATTGTTTTCTCAGTTCTGTACATCCTTAGCTGATAGTTGTCCTGTGACACACCATAGAAAACTTTGTTAAAATTAAGATACACTATATTTATACCTTTCTTTAACCACAAAGCTTGTCATCATCTTCTGAAAACGAATGAGTTGGTTCACAGGTTTTTTTCTCTAGCAAGTCCTCGCTGGCTGTTGGCCTGTCTTATTGTTTTCTTCAACATACTTACAGCTAGGTTGTCAGGATCTTTCTTCCAGTAATTTGCGTTCCTCCCCTTTTTATAATGGCAGATACTTTGTTTGCCCTTTCCTGTTATTTGCGTATGTTGTTTTCTGTGAATAATTCCTTCCTACAATCTCTTTTGTAAGTTCCTTTTATGTGCTTTTTGTCAGATTGTGATCTGTTGCATCTAGACAATCAGAGACAGTGTAAGACTTGAAGCATGTTCTGTTCTGAATCAAATATTTTATGATTTTTTTGTAAGTAACCTTAATGGAGAAGGCATCACAAAGCTAATTTTCCAGAAATTTTGTGATTTTCCAAATTTTTAAAAATATGTTGACTGAAACAGAAGCATTTAATAAGAGCAATCTTTTAAGTTGCAAGCACAAAATTTCCAGATTATGCTCAAGCATAACCCAGGTTAAAGGCTGAGTAACCTGGGTCTGTGCAGCCTGGGGAAAAGATTACTGAGAGAGGATATGATAAATGTTAATAAATATCTAAAAGGAGATGAGAGGCAAATGGATAAAGCCAGGCCCTTCTCAGTGGTATGTAGTGATAGACAAGGAGAAACAGCCTAACACTTGAACACAGGACGCTCCATACTAATGTGTGGAAGAACTTCTTTACTGCAAAGTTGACAGAGCACTGGAACAGGTTGCACCCGGGAAGGCTGTGGAGTCCCCTTCTATGGAGATACTCAAGACCCAGCTGGACGCTTACCTGTGTGACTTATTATAGGAAACTGCTTTAGCAGGGGAGTTGGACTTGATGATCTCTTGAGATCCCTTCCAATATCTGCAATTCTGTGATTCTGCGATTCTGTGATTGCTAAGATTTTTCAAGTACTCTAATATAGCATGGTTTTTATGATGTCTGGAACAAAGATGGTCATGCATGTTCCCAGGAAAATGCAGAAGTTACGTTAAAAGAAACTTCCTCTGATATTTTTGTTTTATAAATTTGTAGGGAGAAAAAAAAATGCAGTACATTGTCATGACTCCATCACTGCTTCTTTTCATAACTTCTGAACTCTGTTCTCTGGTTTTTCAGGGATGGCCTCTCCAAAGCACCTGATTTCTCAGACCCTTGGTAAATGTTACCTCATAACTAAAACAAGAGTTATTGCCTGGCAATATAGAGGGTTAACCTTGTGAGCATTCATCTTACTAAGCCGGTGGCATTCTCTTTCCGAATCTTCAATAATTTAAATGATGTTATTTGTTTGTCCTAACTTTCCCTTAGAAACCATCATTAGGAAGAACATTCTCGGTGCATGTGGCATGCAGACATCACTCAGTCTTTTATTCTCTACAGCTAAGAATCTAGAGCTTGATTGACACAGAAAACCATTAGAATGGTGTTAGAACTGTTTTTTCTACTTCCTTTAGAGTCAAAATACAAATTCAATCTGAGATTTCACCATTAAATGAGTGAATTAATGATTTAATGACTAAAAGAACATGACAGCTGAAAAGGTTTATTATTCAGACATTTTATTTCCAGAACCATTAAATAAATAGATAGATAAACAAATAAGTAGAGAACACGACAACCTAAGATGTTTACTATTCAAACATATGAACCTGTAATCAGGTGTTGCTGTTCCTGCTGTCTGCAGAGGGTTCTGCACTGCGGTGCTGGCCCATCAGCTTCACCTTCCATGTGAGAGCTGCAGCTGCACGTTGGGCAGTGTAAGGCTATCCGGGGCTGCCAGTTGTGTGGTGTCAGCATGGCTGCTGCCATCACAGCCATTGCAAAGGATGGGCTAAGGTGGGACAGGGCAGCCCAAGGAGTCTGCAGCTCTGGTGCTTCTGGTTTCAAGGAAGCTCCTGTCATGGGGAGCCAGCTGTAAATCCAGGTGCCATGAAGGGCAGAGCGTTGTCAGTTGGAGGAGCAGAAGTGACATCCAAGGTCTTGTTGCTACTTGGTTGCAGGGACAAGGCCAGAGAATGGCACTGTTCCCTTCCTATTGCTGCAGCAGGGTCTGGAAGGGTTGGAGAAGTGCTGCCCTTGGCTCAAGTAGTGACTTTCTTGGGGTGCCTGAGTGGCAGGGGTCCAGTGGGTGCCACTGTCTGTGTGCCAGCTTCTGGATCCACTGGCAGCTGCTCCGTACATGGACTGGGCACTGGGGCTGCGCCTCAAGTGGCTCTCATTTGGGTCTTCGTGCAGGAAAGGAACAGCCACATCTCTTCTCTTCCGGGCAACTCTCTTCTTGCAAAGTTTAAATAGTTTGGGATGATCTCTCCTGAAAAATGTGTGAAGAAGAAGATGAGTAACCGAAAAATGTAAAAGAAAAAGGTTAGTTGATATCAGTTCAAGACTGAGAGAAATGAGATAGGGGAGCTAACACTTTTAATTGATGAAGACATGCATGGTATTAAAATGTCTATCAGTCAGTTTAAACCTACATTTTGGGCTGTGTAAAACAAGATGTGTTGCAAATAGGTTGAAATAAATAGACTCATCGTATCCTCATTTATTTATCATTCCATTCCAAGGATTCAGTCTCACTGGATACAACTCAAATATATTTAATTCATATTTCTAGTACTCAGCAATGCTGCTTCTAAAATACCTGCAAACAGCCAGAGAAAGAAATTCAGAAAAAATTAGGATCAGAACACGTACTGTCATTCTCATCACCTCTATTACCATGTGTTATTTTATAGATGTATTTATAGATCTATTTATTATATAGATGTGACTGTCCATCTCTCTCACCAGAATATTTTGAGTTGGTTCATGTGTGGAGCAACTGACTTACCTTCCTATGGGCAGTAAATGCCTCTTCCTCTGACAGAATTTTGGGAAGTGAGGGAGGTCTTCTGAAGTTATGTGGCATTTTGGTGAATCCATACAGATTAAGTTGTTGAACTAAGCTTTTCATACTTTCTGTCTCGCGAACTGTCAAAGGCCCTCTCTTTCTCAGTACTTCCACCTGAAACATTTCTTCATCGAGTACTACGCACTTTCCATTGTGACTCCTCCAAATGCTTTCAAATTGATCAGTTACAGCCAAGAGTTGGTCCCTTCCAACCCAAACCATTCTATGATTCTGTGGAAAGCTGAGGGTGGAGAAGATGCTGGCTTTGCCAGTGCTTTCCTCAGAAGTATGAAATAAATATTTAGTTTCCTCTTCATCAGTCGAAGTTTGTGAGTCCTTTTCTTCATCAAAACTACAACAGCATCACCAGATGTAATTCCTTGATCCTGTCCTGGAGGATCAGAAGGGCAGCCTGAGGACTCACCCTGGCTTCTCTAAATCAGAAACAGAAGTTTCTGCAGATCATTCACTTTCTCTCAGTGCTTTCATTTTATCTGTAAGGGAAAGGTTTGATGTAGAGATGGTATCTGGATGCAGGACTGAGGTGTATGCTAAGTTTGATGGCAACACTTGAGGAGCTGTGTTCACTTCTTCGAAGTTGGAGAAGCCTTGCAGAGAGGTCTTGACAAAATGTGCAATCACCAACAGCATGAAGCTGAATGAGAGCCATTACTGGCTTCTGCACCTGAGATGGGGCAGTCCTGTAGAAAAGGATCTGGGGTTCTGGCTGATAGGAAGTTGAATGTGATCCAGCAGCATGCCTTGGCAGCCCAAAGCAAACCAACTGTATCCTGGGATGCACCTGGCCCAGCACTGCCACTGGGCAGGAGAGGAGTTGTTTCTTGTCTCGTTCTGCTCTGTGCTTTGTGGCCTCACTTCCTGCACTGGGTGCAGCTTTGGGTGCCACAATGGAAGAAGGAAATAGAACTAATCTCTAATAGACTAATAACTAATCTCTAATAGAGAGTGTCCAAAGGGGGGCTGCAAAGATGGGGAAGGGTCTGGAGGGCAAGGTATATGAGGAGGAACTGAGGTCCCTGAGTATGTTCAGCCATGATGGCAGCTGCAGCTCCTCTCAGGGAGCAGACGTGTGCTCTGTGTGACAGCGACAGGACCCAAACAGCAAGGAGCTGTGTCAGGGGAGGGACAGGTGGGGGTTGGGGACAAGTGTGGGCATGGAACTGGCTGCCCAGGGCTGTGGGCATGGCCCCAAGTGCTGGAGTTCAAGGAACATTTGGATACTGCTGTCAGACATAGGGTTTGAATTTTGGATGGTGCTGTGTGAGCCAGGAGCTGGATTCAGTGATCCTTGCGTGTCCCTTCCAACTCAGAATATTCTATGTTTCTATGCTTAAATACATGAAATGTAGTTTGCAAAACGATGGCATTACAATGAAAAGCAAAGTCAGCTGATGTAGGCTAACAGTAGCAGTTACAGCACTGTGTGATGTTCTTGGTTAGGTCAACTCTACTTGGTTTAAACAAGCAATTTGTGGGTGAAAGCTTCTTTTCTTATTCAGCGCTTCAGTTGTCCATTTTATTTCAGTTTAGACACCTTCCTAAGTGCTGCTTTTGTTTGAAAAAGTAACTCAGTGTTTGTTTCTAGTCATAATATTTAAGATTCATAAAGAAAGTCAGTGGTACTCTGTGATTTCACACTCCAGATCCAGTATTTCAAGCAAGCATAGCAGCCAGCAAGGCAATCCCAAATGGATCCACTTGCTTCACTTCTGCATTTCTCTTCTTCTCCACTCAAATGCTCTCTTGCCAAACTGGCCAACTTTCAGATTTCTGCTCTCTACATGGTTGTGCAAAATCTTGGGCTGGCAAAAGGAAAGATGAAGGAAAGTGGGTGGCAATATCTCTGTGACAGTGCTGCCTTATGCTATCTCCAATTATTTTTGGAACTGTCCTGTTGGTACAATGTATGGTGCTTAGGATGTTGAAAAATGGGATTTAACTATTTAAAATACTTCTCAAATTTATATTCATTATAACCTGTCATTTCACCCCCAATGTTACTTTTACAGTTTCAAAACTTGTTCTTGGCCAATTTCTAAATATTTATAGCCCTCATATAATACCTTTTTATAAGCGTTCTTGCAAACTCTTGCACATGTGCTGAACTCTGCTACGTGAGGTAGTTAAGCAAATGAGTGTTAGCAACAGCCAAGCCCCAACATGAGAACTAGATCTTAAATCATCCTGACAGACCAAAGCAACTGCTGAAAGTTTCACAGACGTACGTGAATATCTGTGCTGGACTGAAACTTTACAAGGCAAAAAGAACAGGAGATAATCAAGGCAGTGTGGAAAAAGTCCAGCATAAGACTGGGAGATTGCACAGAACAACTTGGCAAATTAGTTTCTGGGGTGCCTAGTTACATGGCTGCTTCTCTTTTAATGGCCTAAAGTGAGCTTCTCCTCTTTTGGCTTTGTGAGGCACTCAGAAAACATCAGTTTCCCTTTCTCTGAAGCCACTGGGGATTTTGAAAGATGACCTTCAGGACAGTCAGATCTGTGAAAAAGAATAGGTAAATTAAAAGCATTCTTCTCTCTTGTGCAATTGTGACATTTCAAAATCAAAATGCTTTCAGCAGTCTTGGTAGATGAAAAAATGTGAAAATTTGGTCTGGGGAAGTTCTGAGGAAAGGCAGCTGCTGCTTCTTCTGCACCAGCTGAGAGGAGCTGGGCTCTGGGCTCTCACCTTCAGTGACTCAGTCGTGAAGCTGCTGCTTCAAGCAGCACTGAAGCCTCAGGTCCAGCTCTGACTTCACAATTAGGTGGGCTCTGATATTTCCTGGTGGACAGGCCATTCCATTCACTGCTGTCTGTGTTCATGTCTGTTGATCTTGCTGTTGATCACTTTACCTGACCAGATGTCCCTGAGCAGTACCCTGCTGGGAGGCGCTGCAGCTCAGCCTGAGTATCCTGCAAAAGCATCCTGGTTGGCCTGCAGGTGTCTGGGCATAATTCACTGGTTTACTGCTGAGCTTCCCAGCTCAGGCAAGCGAGATAGCAACGCACCATCTCTGGGCTTCACCTTTCTGCTCATTTACACATCCAAATCTTCTCCATCAATAACTACATATGAGCTCCTCCACTCTTTCTCTACTGCAGCTTCCCAGTAATCCCCATCCTTCTCACCCTATGCTTTCACATTCTTTCCTGCAGCAGTCCTCTCTTCCCAGACTCCTCCCGGCTTCCCTTGTGGCCTCATCTGTGAGCATGGCTGTACCCCAGCTGCAGGCTGGAAGCAGAGCAGGTAGCTCCAGCCAGGAGGAACTCTTCCTACCTGTCAGCCCATCACACAAGCTGCCACTCAGCTGCCAGTGCACCATCTCCAGACCAGATGTTGTGCAGGCCTTGTTTAATTTGATCTGAGTAGTGGTGTAAGCTTTATTTTTGTGTCTATTTTTCAAGTGCTTTCCCTTTTTCTCTCTGATTTTTATCTACCAGAGACTATGCTGTATGCACGCTGAGCCCTGATGGCAACACTCTTAACACACTGTTTTCCTGGCCATCAGAAAACATGCATGTGGTTCTTTCCTTTCTCCTAGTTTAATGTCAGTATATAATGAATTTACAGCCTTTACTTTGAAAACGAAAGCAATTTCTGCAGATTTTCAAAAGCATCTTACTTACAAAGAAGTTAAAATCTCCCTTGGATCCACAGGGAAGAAATTTAGATGAGAAAAGAGAATGAGCTACTTAAGGACAAAAGCCTTCAAGATGTGTGACTTTTAGACTAACAGTGTCAAAGTGGTTTAAGTATTTAAAACCCGCTCCTTGCATCATCTTCAGTAATTCCAGCACATACATTTGATCCCACTAGGCATTCATTTTTAGGTGCCATCCTTCATTTTTAAACTCTTCAGTTGCAAGTGATCCCGAGGTACTTTTGGAAATGTTTTCCCTACATATTTTCAGGCTGGTGTTTGAGGCAAGACAGTTTTTCTCTCTGGTTTGTGGCCTCCACAGATGTTTGAAATTTTTTAGTTGTAGGAGACTGACAAGACTGATAACAGCAGGTTCTAACCTAATTATTAAATGTTAACCTTTGGAAGTTAAATAATCTCCTCTGGTGTCATTAAAAATGCCCCAGGAGTCCTAGTATACCCTCCTCACCTTTGCAACACGTGTCTGAAGAGAAAAATAGTGTTGTTCTTCCCATTCCAGCTGCAGACCAGCCAGTCAGACAAGAAGTCTTTGTGCCATTAGCTCGTTTCTTCTTTGTGTCCTGTGAGCACCATGTTGTCGAACTCACTGAACCATCTGCAGTTTACAAGGGATGAGAGATCTCAGAGTGCAGGAGGGTGTATTGCGAAGCATGGTAAAGCAACCTACATTTGCCAATACTTACTACAGAAAATCAGGGACATTTTCAGTCCTGATACCAGCAATCCCATATCAAGTGTTGTATTGCATCCCTGAGTGGTTGATCTGAGACCTATGAAGTGCTACTCCTACTTATGCAAGTGCTTGGTCTTTATGAGCCATTTATTTATGTGCCTATGTTCAAATTTGTATATCTCACTCAGATATGAACATTTTAGCCTATTAATTCCCTCTGTTACCCTCTATCCCCTGAAAATGATGTGTGTATAGACTGACATTTAATGATACATTCACCCAGAACGGATGCAATGTCTGAAGCAGTTAAAGTGAGAGATATTTTCATTTTTAATAACAGCCAGGATATTGGGAATGGCTGACACATTCATCACTAAGTCAAACCGCTGAATTTTCGTGATGCAGTATGGAGTTCTATTACAGCCTCATTGATAGTGTTCAGTAATCCCTCAATGAAGTGTGCTGTATATGGTAATTGATGCGTGACCTTTCTTTAGTTAAAAAAAGAAATCCATGAACAAAAGCTGGCTGTCCTGGGCCACACACCAAGGCTTGAGACATAGCTCTACTATCTCTAATTTCTCTGAAGCATGTAAAAGAGGAGATGCCTATGATTGCAAGGCAGTCATAGTTGTGTTCTCTTCAGGAAGATGAGAATCGCAGAATCACAGAATTGCAGGGGTTGGATGGGACCTCAAGAGATCATCAAGTATAACTCCCTATTAATGCAGATTCCCTAAAATAAGTTGCACGTCCAGACAGGTCTAGAATGAAAGTCTGTGAAAGAGAGTTTACAACCTCTCTGCACAACCTGTTCCAGTGTTCTGTTACCCTTACTGTGAAGAAGTTCTTTCTCGTGTTTATCATAGTATCATAGAATCACAGAAGGGCATGTGTTGAAAAGGACCTCAATGATAATCCAGACTCAACCCCCCTGCTATGTGCAGGATTGATGATCACTAGACCAGGCCACATTCAGCCTTGCTTTGAATGCCTCCA